ATTACAAACAATCTTCAATACCAGGGGGGAAGTAGGGATAAAGAGGAGAGAGGACTATCAAGGTAGACGAAGGTTATCATCCAATTTCATCATCCGCCACTGCCCTTTTGACTATATACTTCCCTTACTTGCACATGTTTATCGCTCTCAACTACCACTCGTTATTCACATATGTTTCCACTGTTGAACCTTAACAATCATCGACATTATCGTTATCATTCCCTTTCGGCTGACCAAAAACGCCCCCAACAGACAGACAAACATTTACACATTCACCGAATTACATGCGTACTTAGAAGTACCTCTTTTGTCTTTATTCACTCTCTCTTTATAGTGTAACTACTGCCATTCTCGTATGGTGGATTCCGACGTAGTACCTTAAAACTCTCTTTACACTTTCGAACTGATTTTATTTTCTTTGGTGGTTTCTTGATTCGTTGGTGATTTCCATGTTCTTTGGTGTGGCTTGCCATTGTGGGTGTTTGGGGTATCTTTATTTTCTGCTTCGATGTTATCCTTTTGTTTTACTATACAACACAAGTTTTTTTGTTGTTTTTTTGGTTTTCAGATACAGATGCAATCTTGTTGCATGATTCGTTTGCCGGTTTGGTTTCTCTTTTTTTTTTTTTTCTTTTTTGGGGGTTTTTTGGGTTGCTGATTTTCTTTTACGTTTTGCCTGCTCTTTCACTCTTCAAAGAAATACAATCATATTCGTTGACTACATAAAACTCTGCTTCAAGTATTTAATCATTGATGTCATCTTGGATTACTGGGACACAGGTTTCAGTAATATGTTCATTTCACACTGTTGGTGTTCTTCTATGGTATTTCACTTTTTGCTGAAATCTCAGATTTTGAAGTTCATGATCAGATTGGATTTAAATTTTCCCATAATTAGCTTCTTCAAGTTATTGAACATGTTCCCCAAAAAGAATGTGTAGTAGAGGCCAATATACAAACAAGAATGATTTGGGTAATGTTGATCATTGGTGCTTGAAAGAATTTGGCAGGGGTTCATCACATCACTTGTTATTGAGCAAGATACATGGAGTGTTATCTTTTGAATTCATAGACATCCAACTTGAGTCTTGACAGCCATATCCTTTGAGGCCTTGGCATTGAACCGCACGGCAAACCTCTTGGACATACTCCTTGGCTTTTTGTTTCTCCTTCCCATGATGGACCGGTTGATGGTGGTGGAGGTTCTCTCTCAGGTTTTGCTTAATTGGGCCAGACACAAATATGTTTATATTAAGTGTATGTTGATTGCTGCAGATCTTGTCCTCTTTCTCTTCAAAAAAAAAAAACCTCCGACACTGTTGCAGGTTCAACACATCTATGAAAGGAAGAAAAAAAAACCAGGGTTTTTTCTGGATTTGTTGAATTTTTCTCAGTTCTGTGATCTCTCTCTGCCCTTCATGTCCCTTTCTAGTCATCATCATTAAATCAGACCTGATTGTATCCACCACCAAGTAGCTTGTTTGTGGTTGTTTCAAGCTCCCTTGTTGAGTGAAATTTGAACCACAGGTAATCAGCTCTTCTCAACTACTCTTGTCTCTACAGTGAATTCTTCTCTTTCCTGATCTATTGTTGAATTTAATAAATTCTGATTAATTGGAATTTACAACTCTACATATTTGTGGTTTATAACATGTTTTTGCTCGATTACCTCATCTGACTTGACTAAAAGTCAAGATTGAGAAGCCTTGTCCAGTTTGTTTCTTCCTCTCAGCTCTTGATTCAATATGATTTTGTTCATCTTCATCTTTCTCAACCACTTTTTCACCGCTTGTATTTAGCCTACTTAATAAACTTGACTAGATGCTTGTGAATAAAAGAAAAAAAAACATTGGTTCTTCACCATATTCTTTTTCTGGGAACCTTTCCCAAAAAACGCCCTCCACTTTTTTTGGTGCCATTTTCTTAAGTTTCTCAGCATCCACAAAGCCTGTCAGAAGCTCAAAAACTCATCAGGATTGTTGGAGGTGATACTGATATGTACTTTGGTATAAGCATTGAGACTGAGAAAAATTAGTCTCTTTTGCTGTAGATACATGCTCAGTAATAGACATGTATGTTGCAATTTTGAGCTCAAGCACGTAAGAGGTTGAGGGCCAAAAAAAGAGTGTCTTATTTTTTGGGAAGGGCTCACGGAAAAAAAAGAGTGTAAAGAACCAATGATTTTTATTCACTAATATCGAGTCAGGTTTAAATAGACTAAACTCAAATGATGGAAATGTGGTTGTGAGAAATGAATAGCAAAAAACATATTGAATAAAACACTGAGAGGAAAAAGCATGAGTCTTTGGAATAAACAAACCGGATTGGGCTTCAGCTTCTCAGTCTCTTTTAATCAAGCCAGATATCAAGGAAAAACATGCTATAATCCACAGATATTTAGAGTGGTTAATTCTAATTAATCATGTTTTAATAAACCAACTAGAAAGATCAGGAAAGAGAAGAAAGTATTGTAGAGACATGAGTTGTTGAGAAGAGCTGATTGCTTACTTAGGGTTCACATTTGACTCAGAAGGGGCTTAATAACAACAAAAAACAAGATACTTGATGCGTATATTCTGATCCGATTTTAGGATGGCTAGAAAAGGAGAGAAGGAAAAGAGGGAGCGGATTTAGGGAGGAGTAGACCAAAAAAAAACAGTGAAAACTCAACAATGTACAGCCCCTTGACAGAAAAAATGGAACCCTTTAATTGGAGTCTAGAGGGCAAACCAATGGACTTCAATGTATGCTTCCTGGTGAAACTGTGGGAAATAAGTTCTAAAGAATGATTCTTACAAATTGGATAGGAAATTATTTTGTAAAAGTTTTGTTTATTTTTCCCCATTTTCTGATTTTTTTTGGTATTTTTCAATCATGTTTCAAAGTAGCTCAGAAAATCATGATCAACACAATTGCATGTGCAAAGAATGATTATAAATGAAAAATCAAAAAAAAAAAAAAATTGATCAACAGCTTTTTTAAGCATGTTTTGATTGTGTCCTCCACCAGACCAACCCTCCAATCAGGCACTGAAATTGAATTCAATTTCATCCTCAATCCAACTTCTTCAGCTCTCTAAACTTTTAATCATTGATTTTTCTAAATTTTTCATTTATAATCATTCTTTTCACATGCAATTGTGATGCTCCTGGATTTTTGAGCTACTTTGAAAAATGATTGAAAAATGTTGAAAAAATCAGAAAATGAGGAAAAATATAAAAAACAATTACAAAACATTTTTCTATCCAATATGTCAGAATCATTCTTTAGAACTTATTTTACACAGTTTCACCAGGAAGCATAAATTCAAGTCCATTGGTTTGCCCTCAAGACTCCAATTAAAGGGTTCCATTCTTTCTGTCAAGGGGCTGTACAATTAATTGTATGAGATGGAGTGTTTCTCTACAGTAGTATGAGATTGAAAGATGATCAGTCACTGATCAGTCTCCAAATCATGCTGAACTATTATGTATCTCCAATGCTCACTAATTGAATGCGTTTTTTACAGGTGTAATCCCGTGGTACTTGTTGGAATGACTATCAGTTTTCCATTATAATAAAAATGTTTGGATGATTCAGTTGAATAAACTAGAAAATTTTAATCTGCTCTTGTGGTGAGGATTTAGGTTATGTATGTAGATTATGTTTTTTTTTTTTTTGGATTGAGAGCCAGATAAATACATAACAAGTTTATAATTTGGAACCAAAAAAAAAGTCATTTTTTCTTGGTCATACACAAAAAAAGGTGAACAGATATTAAAATTCATGATAGCAAGGATACAGTACTCTCAGGGCCTGCACCATCTAAGCACCCAGGTAAATCTTCACTTCCAATTTTGAGTTTTGTTTTTTCACAAATCAAAATTTAGCTTTGGGTTTACACCAAAAAAAAAAACTGGAAATCAAGGGTGATGTATATACTGGTACACCATTTCCACTAGATTCAATTTCCAAGCTGGACAGTGTAAATTGGCCTGGAAATTGGTAAAATGAGTGGCTATGGTACATGACTTCAATGTTGATATCATGAGGGGTCAAGGATAATGATGTGTGGTGGAGGCGTCTGAATAATAGACCATGACGGAGATGCTCGAGTACCATTAAAGTGTGGCTATCTAGGCTTTATGTATGTACTACGTACTTGGAAAACTTTGATAAAAGAAAACAGGCATACCAAAATTTTGATAGCTTGTATTTGTGCGGCAATCGCATGAACTTGATACTGACTCTTCTCTGTTGGCGAGGAAGCGGGGAACTCAAGTTTTGAGTTTCGGGTTTTGAAGATCCTGATGGCTACTTGCCCAACAGGGCACATGAAGATCTTTTGCCCAACAAGGCACTGCATGAAGATCTTTTGGAGTGCGCTATCACCTTGTGTATATTCTGTATTTGCGTTCTGCGGTGCCAAAATTATTCTTCAGTCTAACGAGTCTTATGCAAGGCATACACTAAAAGTGCTCGCCAGGATTACAATAAAATCATTGATTCTTTGAGTGGAGCCCTTAACAATGCCAGCACCAAATGGTCGGAGGTGTTGGTCTGACTACCTCCTCAGACAAATTGTGTCCGATCTGTTTCATAGCCTGGTACCAGCGGGGCGCGGAATCAGTTGGACCCAGTCCCAGGGTCGACAATTGCCCGGACAAGTGCGAGCAGGTTGAGTAGTTCTCTGATATGTACTGCATTTGTGTTACGAAGTTTATCGAGTCCGCTATCGCCCGAATAGTCGAGGGATGTGGTTCTGGACGCCTGTCCTTCGGAGTGTTTCAACGCATGAATCGGCTATTCCTGACCCTTAGGATTGCATTCAAGTTTCATATATTTATATATCTTCTCCACTTTTTGTCCTTATTCCCCCAACAACCAACTTTCCTTCAACTTACCATACGTCTAGGTAAAATCCGGTTTTCATCATGAGATCTTCGAAGGAAGTTGAAGACTGTGAGGAAAAAGGTCGCATATCAATACAGCGAACTTATGATGCTGACTGCAAGTCCGTCGAGAGCGAGGGACAGAAAAAAGTCCCCAGGGCGAATGAGGGGCTTAAAAGAGGAATGGAAAGTCGTCACATCCAGGTCTGTCCGTTTCTTTTAGAAAACGTCTCTTTAGTCGTGGTCCACCCACGAGGCTTATCAATTTTAAATTCCTAATTAAGATGATCTCCATAGGGGGAGTAATCGGTGCGTTTATATGTCTACACTTAGAAAAATGATAATGTCTTTCCGGGAAGTCTCTGACTTCATTCTTAAAAATAGGCACCGGTCTTTTTCTTGGAACCGCAAGTGCACTTCACAATGCTGGACCAGCTGGAATGGTTTTAGGATATATTGTCATGGGATCAGGTGCCTCGATTTATTTAAAAGCCTCCTTTGACCGCCATGATAATCAGGTTTTATAGTATTCCACTTACCCTTGCTGTCCCTTTTCTTTATTTCTCAGTATCGTGGGTCGTGATGGGTTGTCTAGGAGAAATGGGTTCGTATCCTCATTTTTAGCCTCTGAGGGGAAAGAGTTGACTCCCTTTGGAATGAGGCCGAGTTATTTTGAAAGCTGATCATTCTTACCGCATGAATAGTTGCCCACCTGCCAATTGCAGGAGGGCACGTCACCCTTGCTGAAAGATTTGTTAGCCCCTCTCTCTCATTTACGATGGGATACAACTACTGGTATAGTTGGTCTATCAGTAAGTGAATTTGGCATTTAGGATTAACAGCGGGAGAGAAACCTGACTTAATCTCCGTTGTCAAATTTGTGATCTTTCAGTCCTCCCCACAGAGATGTCTGCATCTGCGGTTCTTATCAACTACTGGATCACCTCGGTCAACAACAGTGTTTGGATCTTTATTGCTTTGGCAATAGTAATATCTATAAATTCATGTGGCTCAAAGTATGATAAATTTATCTCAGGGAGAAAATTGTTGGAGTAGCTAATGCTTTTTGTTTTGTTTCCTTTGATAAGGTTCTACGGAGAGTTTGAATTTTGGTCAGTTCTAGTATGTTGCGAAGTTTCAACTTGAGATAACTGAACCTGATATTCTGAGAGTGGAAACAGGCTGGCATCCATCAAATTAGTATCAATCGTAAGCCCGTCCTCACAAGAGATTTCGGTGTTCAATACTCTCATACATTTTTTTTTTTTTTCTTCAAGACTGTTCTCATCGTCCTAGGAATTGTGCTAGGTAATCTCCTACTCCACCAAGCTCGCAGGTTCAGTTGGGTGATTCAATGATTACAACAATTTGACCGATCTTGTAGACCTAGGTGGAGGACCCAACAGAGAGTTTATTGGCGCTCGTTATTGGAAGAATCCTGGGCCCTGGGTTGAGCACTTGGGACGAAAAGGGCCATTGGGACACTTTATGGGATTTTTGTAAGAATCAATGACCTCAGGAAAATATTCATCTGCTGGAAAATCTTCATCTCTAACCTACCCCGCCTAATGAATCTACAGGGCCGCCACTAACCAAGCCTCCTTCTCCACTCTCGGGAGTGAGATTGCAGCCTTCGCGGCCGCTGAGGCTCGAAATCCAAAGAAGGCGCTTCCGACAGCCATCAAAGCGATCATCTGGCGTCTGGCTGTGTTCTACTTCCTCGGAACGATGATCATAGGCCTTTTGGTTCCAAGTAACGAGCCTAGATTACGACTCAATTCCCACACTGCCGCATCCTCTCCTTTTGTGATTGCCATTGAAAAATCGGGTATCAAGTATCTACCATCGTGAGTATTTTAGGTATCAGGATCGTGAAATTTACCAGAGGAAGATCTTAAGATGCACTTTTGTCTTAACCAAAAGAATCATCAACGTGGTCTTAATCTCATCCGCCTGGTCTGCGGCATCGAGCAACATGTATATTTCTTCGCGGGCTCTGTACTCATTGGCCATCGAAGGGAATGCCCCAAAGATTTTCCGAAAAACGAACTCGTGGGGTGTACCTTGGACTTGTACCATTGTGGCTTCCTTTTGGGGCTGTCTCGCCCTCCTGTCAGTAACCCATAGCGGAGCGGGAGCTGTCTTTGGATGGCTCGCAAGTAAGGAGTCCTCGAGCTGCTACTCTTCCATACCTGATAGTGATCCTGACAAAGTGCAACATTTTTTTTTTGGCTGCTTGACAAGATATGTATTCTACCTCGGGCTTCCTAACATGGATAGGTGTCTTGGTTACCTACGTAAGATGGGAAGCGGGAGTCAAAGCCCAAAAGATAGATCGTTCAAGTTTCCCTTACAGATTTCCACTCGTAAGTAATTACCTTATTTTGCCGTGTCAAGATTTCCAACCAGTTCAACTGCACTCCGACCACATAATATTTTGACTTACCATGGCGGCTATGCTCTAATCACATCTAGCGAACGCCGGGCGCAATATACGCAATTGTCGTCTGCTCGTTCTTAGTGATCGTGAATTCTTATCAAGTTTTTGTAAGCTTCATGCATTTACAACTAACTTCATAGGTCAAGAATCCATTGGCTAATTCCGAATGTCTTTGTTTTTTTTGGCACGCGGGGCGACCGTTGTATAACCATACTTATTTTTATTCCCCTATGTCCAGTTGCCAAACAACTGGGACCCGGTGGTTTTTTTTACGGGGTAAGTCCAACAGTATTACAAAAAACGAAAGGAAACTGACGATAAGGGTTCAGATATTTTCCCATAGTAATCTTTGCAGCTTTTTACGGGGGTAGTTACTTTTGGTACAAGAAGGCAGGCCTCAAAGCAGGGGTTAAAACTGTTTTTGAAATGGTGCGGAAATCTTCATGAATATAGTTCTTCCGCTTTGTCTTAAATAGGGACGGTGCAATTTGATTTGGGTGATAGGACTTCGTGACGGGGTCTTACGATGAAGAAAGAGATCGAGACGATAGCGTGGTCGAAGAATCGAGCTTACCCTTGAAGCGAAAAATCCTACGTGTAAGTCAATCTGGTCTCATTTAAAGTTTGAGACGAACGCGTTTTGTGAATATTCAAATAGATGGCTCCAAGCAAACGTACTGAACTCCGTAACATCTTGAAATTATTAGTTCTTTTAATGAAACACTTGAACCTTCCTCATCTCTTTGGATTCCACATCGTGGACCAAATTTTAATGGAATTCGAAGGACCTCAAAAATTAGGATTAACTTGGAGGATGGTTTTCGAAAATCGGTAGAAGTCTAACCGGTATTTGGTGGCAAGCTTTCTTCAAGTAAATCTAGCCGATTTGCCTGCCCCTTGTCGATTTTGTTCTCGAACCAGCAGACACATCATTCCTCGCATATCTCTCAGAGTTGGCAATTGTTGATCACATATAATGAGGAGTACACCCAAAACTGTAAAAAGCACCTAAAATCATAAAGCATATTGTGAATTTGACCAATCATTTTTTAAATTTCTTGCATGGAATTCAGACTTGTAAAAAAGACGAGTTGGGTATTGGAATAGATATCTTAAAGATAGAGAAGCCAAGGATTCCAAAAAAGAATTGTTGTGATCACAATCCTATCCTTACATACATGTGTGAGTAACATGGCTGTTGGTGTGATAGTCTGACTCTGAGGAGAAGCCATCTATCACTTTTTCTAATGATCACCCCATCATCATTCAAACAATGTACATGAGGGTTGAAGTGGCATATACATACATCCTATGATAAAAGAGCTTCCAGCTCTCTACTAGTCAGGCAGAGTTGAATTTTTCAATAGAATGACTGCATGGAGATAAAAGGGGTGTTATGTCTTGAGCTCTTAACCTGTAACAAAATCTAAGAAAATAATCAGATTATTGTGATTTTTTTAGCAATTGGATCCTGAATAAAACATCAACACTGATATTAATGAATTTTTGTTGCTGCTGATTCATCAATTCATCAATTTGGGCTAGAGAAAGTTAATTTGCTCACTTTATGGTTGATCTCAATTTTCATTTTGTTGGAAGCATGGTATGGCACAGCGCTCTTTCTATCCACCAAACTAAGAGCGACTCCGTTGCGGCCCTACTTCAGGGCCGTAAAATCTTGATGATGGGTTCACGCAGCCAGTTTTACAGTCTCAAACTGCTGTGGCATACTGCCATACACCGCAACTTGGCAGAGTGGTTTGTAAAAATTGATGACAGGTGTGCTGCCGAGGGCGGGGTGATGTGTGAGGGTTGAGTTTCACATGTCGTTGTTGTGTGAAAGTGTTGTTTGTAGGCCGTAGGTGAGTCCCTAGGAGTCCCTACATGTGAGGACTTGGGAGGAGAATTTATGGACTTCTGTAGATTTTAGCGACCGCGGTGGGTTGTGTTGAGTCTGCAAATTCCATTTCCACCTACGGCCCCAATTTATGGCCCGTGGTGAAGTTTCTCTAAGCTTAGTATGACTGTTTGTGCATGTGGATGACACTTTGGACTTTGGAAAGCAGTGTCTTCATTAATCCTTCTAACTGCCAGTAGTTATAGACCGAAAATTACAGGCCTTTGACCCTAGTGTGAAAATTATTAAATGCCACCATGGATCTAAAAATTGAATGCTTCTTGAAGTCATGCACTATTTCTTTTATACCAAAACAGCGGGTAATTTGAATCAGCGGGACATCATCAATTGTAGATTGGGAAAAACATTCAAACAAACAAGTAATAATTATAGGAAGTCATGAATATAAGTCACTCTGCTCCTCTGTGAATGATAGAAATACTTATCAATGAAAATTAAATTGTGTTTCCTTGTAGGTATGTCTGTTGTTTCTTCAACAAGGATTAAGAGCTTCACAAGGAGCAAAGATTCAATGAATGAGCAAGAAAGATGGTTCAATGTGAAAAAAAAACAGTTCCAAGTGTGGTTGACCACAATCTACCAAAATTTTGAGCAAAATTGTAAATATATTCCAACCATTGGTTTGAATCATAATTGGTGCATTTTTGATTATCTGGAGGTGGTGTGGGTTGCGATCATGCATCAGGTTGGATAAAAGAAGGATTGATTTAAATTATGCTGATCTTAAATTGTTTTTATTTTCACCAGGAAAAAGGAAAACATGTGCAGGGGGTGAGCTTTTATCTAAACTCCAAGTAAAATACTCAAAATAAATCCAAAACAATCAAGACAATAAAAACCCTTGAGGTAAAAAAGTGCAATTGATTGGTTCAAACCCACAGCTTCAATTAATTCACATTTGAGACAGTGATCCAGGAAAATCAAGTATTGGCAATGGAAGGTGTAAAGGTTGACGTGATTCAAGCTCAAAGGCCATCCTCTGATGAGAGCTAAGTGGTTGGTTTGACCCTGCTTGACCTGACTGCCTGTGAGTACTTTGGGTGATCCCACAGTGACAAAAAATTGGCTCCTGCCTATGAAGCTTATCTGGAGATAGAACAAAAGAATGCCTGTATTGCTTATCAAAACACTCCAGTTGAACTGTCATTGGTACCCCAAGAATGAGCTTAAACTTCTCTATCATTAGACCTTAAAGATGATGTTCCAAACAGGCAGGACGGTTTCTGTCTGATTCACTTCAGCGGAGGATGTTTGCCCTCATGTTGTGCTATTCGGCCTGCTGAGTGCATATTTATCTACGATCACCTCAACTGTGATACCATTCACAATGGTTTGGTCATTGCGGATACCTCATGAGGGTGTATTTGCCGGATGTTCAATGGGGGATCGGAATGGGTGGCATTGTAAAGTGTGGTCAGGAAAGAAAATGGTATCAAAAAACAAAGCCAGGAATAGAGTTGCTGGCCTGGTTGTCGGACACGTGACCATCAAACCTGGCCATGAATATGTGGTGACTCGTGAGGATGACGGAGTAGTTTATAGCTGGTCAACCGTCGTATGGGAATTCCAAGAATTTCCAGCATTTAGTTTGCTGCAGACAATCGGAGCACCAAGCACTGGCTATGTACTCCGGAATCTGACCAGTACCATCTATTGGATGACTTCCCGTCGCAATCTACGACCCTCCCAGAAGTTGTTTTACACCCCCTAGATCTAAATTTTTTATCAAAAAAAATCTTTTTTCTGAAGCCTTCCAGAAACAGCTCTCACATGAGCTGGTTGGAATCTCAATTGCTTTCTTAATTTAAGACTGAGAGAGGTCTAAAAAGCGCTCTAAATTGCGACGGGAAGTCCTCCATTGAACGAGTGAAAAGAAAGGTTGTGTACTGTGGGACTTGAACCCACAACCTCAGCATTCATGAGTGATGCTCTGACCATTGACACGGCGCGCAATCAGGTGACGTTTTTTTCCCGGCGTCACTCTGACGTATTTGACCAAACTCCCGCGCGCCAAATACGTCACCCGACCTCGCCTGCTCATCCTGCCCAAAACGGTCAGTTATATGTCTTTAACTACTCTATGTACATAGAGTATGTTTATGTAAGTCAAAAAGGCCATACAGGGCCATACACCAATCAATACATAAACACATATTTAATCTTTTGATGTGTAACACTGGATGTACATAGCACCGTTTCCTGTGTCGTGCTGGAAAGTCTGACATTAAAAAAACTGCACCTCACTTTTCCGGCGATACTGCAACTCCAGACCTCAAGGCTCAACCCAGTTCTACATAAATATGTAAGTCACCATTTCACACAATTGGTCTAGTCTCACCTGCTTGATAATTCAACTTGCTAACCTACCTTTCTGATTTTTGATTCATCTCTTTCAGCATGCCTCCTATCCCCGACCATGTGATATGTGTTTGCGCTCGTTGCTCAAGTCTTACCTTCACCAATTCAGACGGCAAGGAGGAGCAAGGATCCCTTGTCCACCCTTCAACACGACAACGACATCTAGCCGCAATCCGTTCTCCAAAACCAACACCCCCTGTTGAAAAAATCCAACCTTCCAAACCCAAACAAGCGGGTAAATCTCCTCAAATTAGATTATCTGGTCACAACAAACATGAGGAGATGTTGCTTCAGGCTTCTCATCAGAAAACTACTATAAGTATGATTGGTATGTCTGTTTTGTTTATTTGTACTAGTAAGGATGACTGACTTCTCTCATTTTCTCAGAGACCATTATGTATTTCATAATGTGGCTCTATCTAGTTTGCGGTCTAAGTCAAGCCAAATGCCGCATTGCTCGAGATCATATCTTGGCTATCATAGAAACCTTTACGCGCCCAACGAAAGACATCGAGAGCCTATTGGCAAAAGATGTCCGCACTATTGTCAAACGACTCGACCTTACTCCTGAGTTCAACTCCTACATATGCTGCCCCAAGTGCTATGCACTATATCCCCTCGAAACTCAGAGGGCCGTTTGTTCGTACCGTTCTACTCCAAAAGCCCAAGCCTGCAAGTACAATCTCCGAAAAAATTCCCGTCTAGGTCGGCCCGGTCTCGTAGCACGAATCAAACTACGCAAAAAAAGTCAACCCACTCGTCCGCCTCACGCCATGTACAAGATGATATTTGCAACTCAAGACTTTCAAGATTGGCTTTTGTGGTTCCTCTCTCTGCCTGAAACTGAAAAAGCAATTGAAGACTGGGCCGACCGAGTTTGTGATGCACCTCCCAACAATGCATTTGATTATCAACAATCAAAAGCTTGGAAGAAGATCAATCCAGATAAAGTCGAACCTCACGCTAAAGGAACTTATCTGAAATTAAACTTCTCACTATTCGTCGATTGGTTCAACCCCTTTGGGAATAAGCTTGCGGGACGACAAGCTTCATTTGGTGTACTTGCTCTCACATGCCTCGACATGCCCCCCGAACTCCGTCACCAACCTCAATACTTATTTCTAGCCGGCATCATACCCGGCCCAAAGGAACCCAACATGGTCACCATTTCCAACGTCCTTACACCTCTCATCGACGAATTACTCGTATTGAATGACGGAGTCCGGATGCCGACCTTTAAATTTCCTGTTGGCCGGAAAGTGCGCGCAAGATTAGGGGCCCTTGTCGGTGATGTTGTGGCTACCCATAAAGTTGCTGGGTTTGCTTCACATGCAGCAAAATACTTTTGCTCCTACTGCTTTTGTCAAAAAGAAGACATCAGTCCACTTCGCACAGGAACATTACGCAAAGGTTTCACAACGACATCTCAATCAATTCAATGGAAAGAAGCCACGACTGCCGCAGAAAAAAAGCGACTGTTCAAATCTAATGGGGTCCGGTGGTCCGAACTGAATCGATTACCTTATTGGGACCCGGTCAATAATGTTGTCCTTGGGGTGATGCACAATTGGTATGAAGGTGTCCTTCAACATCACTTCAGGGTGCGATGGGGCTTTAATGAAAAGCCAAAAAAGAACGATCTGGGGAGTAGCGATGAAAATGACTCGGACGACTCGGAGATATTAGACGACGATTCAATCTTGACCACGACCGAGAAAAAAAAAATCCGCAAACTGCTTCCAACCGTAACTGTACCGCAAGGAGTCACTGGCATACCCAAAGGGATCGGGACTGCAAGCAACGGCAAGTTGAAGGCCAGTGAATGGCATTCTCTTTTTTCCAAGCATCTCCCTCTTGTTGTTCTAGAGGCTTTTGGAGGTTCGTGGGAACCCGATGACCGCAAGCGAAAACTCGCCGTTTTACACAACTTGTGTAGCTTAGTCGAATGTACACACTTTGTGGAGAGCAAGTCTATCACCAAAGAAGCTTGTACGAAGTTTGACTTGGATTACGACTCATACTGTAAATCGTCTGAGGAAATCTTCGACGAAATTTCGATCCGACCAAACCATCACTATGCCCTGCACATTGGCCAGCTGTCTCGATGGTGGGGCCCTCTGATAAGCATATCAGAATTTGGAGGTGAAAGATTAAACGGGATGCTTCAAAGCTTGTCAACTAACGGTCAAATAGGTAAGCTATCCTCTAACTTAGTTTCACAATCGGATGCTGACCAATTTGATAGGTCAAATGGAAGTATCCATTGTAAAACGATTCTGCCAGATACAACGATTAGTTCACCAAAAAGACTACAAACGTACCAATACTCCTCGTCAGCAGGAACGGTGCAATACCATCTTGGATATCCACCTATACAAGGTCCTACTTTTCCATCTCAAGAAGAAGCATGTCGACTTGCGCGATTACCGAGACATGCCACACCCAATTGATGCAAAGGTTCTAACTCGAAACGTGATTCAACTCAGCTCGGTGTGTATCAAGAATGGAACCACGGTGTCAACCAAGAGGCCACGCAATGGTGTTTGGTGGGATTGCGAAGGCACACGGCTATTCGGATTTGTTATTAATATTCTTAGAGTTCCGGAAATCGATGGCCTTAGTTCCGCACAAGTAGTGATTGAGGTGACCAATTTGGTTGACTTGAAAGACGAAGCCGGTGTGGACAAAGAATGGCTGAGTATTCTGGCGCGGATGCAGGTTTCAGTTGGTGCTCTTTTGCGAGGGCAGTATCAACTGGTGGATGCATCTGACATTGGTGGCCAATGTGTGTACCGGGAGTTATCTCCAGGTAAAATAGGTAATAAATGTGCCCTAATGATCTGGATGCCTATCATCTACGCAAGCATGGGAGTGGATTTTGACCCGATGGAGTCACTTGCAATGGTGATTGATTAACAGCAGTCGCCAAGATTATTTTTTGTTGCTTCAATGTCTTCGCTTCCTTTATTCCCCTTTTCCTGAAATGTTTTCCATTTGTATTGAAATCATAGACCATGGATCTTCTGATCACCCAATAATTTCCAACAAATACAGTGAAACAAAACAAACAAGCCAAGTCGTGCCCAAGACATTCTATCCCCACTCTGAGCGCGGGGTGTTGATCCAAAATGTGAGACAAAACAAACAACAAGCCAAGTCGTGCCCAAGACATTCTATCCCCCCTCTAAGCGCGGGGTGTTCATCCAAAATGTGAGATGTTATGACTGTCCTCTCAGCAGATGAGCGCGGTGGGCTTCACCACAATGTAGTGGTTTCATCAGAGGCAACATTTGACAAGAAATATTCTTTTCATTGAAGGCAAATGATTTGTGACAATTACTCCTCGGCATACCGGGGGGAATCGAGATGAGAAAAAACTGGGTGTATGGAGGCAATTGATGTGACAATTACTCCCCGGCATACCGGGGGAATGAAGATGAGAAAAAACCAGTTATATATGTTCTTACAGATGCGCCATCTTCGCACCAACTCGAATGAGTGCACTTGTTGATTGGTGACAGTTACACCCCGGCATACCAGGGGTATTAGATAAGAAGAGGAGAATAAAAAAACCTCAGCTAATCAATGATGCTTCAAGCGGCCCAAGTATTTGCAAAAGCAACATTGTCATCATCGACCAACATCTTGTTGTTGTTATCGTAAGCACCATCATCGTCACTTGAGTCTTCATGGTTAGTGTTACTAGGACCGGCCTGAGGCTCTTGGTCGTCAATGAAGGCGACATCTTCTTCTTGCTCGTCCGGTTCTTCCTCCTCCTCGCCTGAGGTGTTGGCTAAATCAATCTCATTGCCATGGTAGCTTGCGTCGTCATTGTCTTCATCATCACTGCTATTGTCATCCTCGTTGTTAATAATGTGATCAAGGTTGTATTTACTGGTCACCTTGTCCCAATACTTCTCCGTGAACCGTTTGTCGCTGAGCTTCTCATCTGCGTGTCGGTTTCCGCGAAGAATATTGGCTGGTTCTGGGAAAAACGCCACCGAGTTGGTGTCTGCAACTATATCTTTGATGTTGGGCTGGAGCTCATTGAACCATTCAGGATCGTAGAAGTCAAGGGGAAGGCGTTTTGGAGCTCTAGGGAATACTGTGGGCTGGGGTTTGGTCGGAAGGGCTCGGCGACGTTGTTGGCTCCTCTTTCCACGAACGAGGTTGGTATCTATCATCACTTTATCGAGGCGGCAAAAAAAGGTGTTTGCGGTTTTGGAGCGAAAGGGGAGAGTTTTGATAACATAGACCTTGTTCTTGGCGTTGTATTCGTCATTGCTGTGGCTATGAATGTCGCCAATTATCTTCTGATACCTTGGGGGGAAGTCATGTTCGACAGCGAATTTATACCTGGCATCTCGAAGCTGCACAATGCAGATGAGTATCAAGCTAAGTGTGCAAGTAGAATATAGATGTACATTTTTACTTACTCGTTCACGGGCTTTTTGGATTGCTTTCTTCTCCTCTTCTGCATGGTATTTACCCCCCTCCTTTTGTTCCTTCTTGAACCGTTCTAGCATTACGTGGTGGACATAGTGGTTGTAACATTGGTAGAGCAGATTAAACTCGTTGAGATAGGTTTTGTTGATACTCATGAAATCATAAGCTCCGACGGCTGCGACTTGTCGAAAGGTGGAAACTGCTGATATCCGACATGCTGAATTGAGGAGAGAGTCCTGGGTTTCGTCGAGGTTTGGGCCCCACACTCGCAAACCCATCCGAGCTAAGCAGGTACGTGCATAATCAATGAACTGTTCTTCAACATGAACAATGCCTGACGCAATGTTCTTGCGTCCAGAGACCATGTCTTTGAGCGTCTCGATCTGGTCTTTCGGCACCATGGCGGGTGAATTGACGTTGTTCACAACATTCTTGATCTGGTGCGAATCAGAGAATTGATGGTAAAACTCTTGCAATATGTCGGGTTGCGGCGCAGGTGGGATTGGGCGTTTTTCGGTTAAACCCCATAGAATCTTGATGTGGGCGTATAGTGCAAGCTGATGAGGTAAGATAGAGATGTTAGGAAATGAAAAACGAGTCAAGTTGAGCCAAGATAAAAATCACTAGCCTTGGTTTTATTAAAGTTTTGAGGAAGCTCCGACATCACCACTTGATTTGGCTTTTTGGGGGTGACGGTCTTTGGCGTTGATTCCCGACGTTTGTTGTTGGAGCGAGTTGGCGTTCCGGTGTTGCCTTTGGATGCGCCTTTGGGATTGTTAAGCTTGGATGGCCCACTGACCGCACGCTTAACAGATTTACCTTTGTTCGGCGGTGTGTTCTCGGAAATCGGCAAACCGGATTTGGGGGCTGAGTGCGTGCCTACTTGCGGACCTTCAGAGGAATTGCCTTGCTGGTCGGCCAATTGCATTTTGCCAAGCTTGAGGAGTTGTCGGATCATTTCGTCTTTCTCGGCCAAAGCTCGTTGCATGGCTTGGAGTTGCTCAGATGTTTGGTTCATGCTGTTGGTAATAAATTGTTGAAATTCTGAGGACAGGCCACTAGAGTCTGAGTTGTTCGGGAAGTTCATCTTTGTAGAATGTAGAGGTAGATGTTGGAACTGAATTCAAGGTTATGGTTAGCTGGAAGAGCGGTCAGGAAGGTGGTTGTTCATCGCTCCAGTGAACCCACCAGTACACCGGCTTATAAAGTAGTCCCGGGCCATAGCAGGTCATCAGTTTGGAATCGGCTTGATCTTTGGACAGCTTTGGATAGCTTTGGACAGATTCCGCAGGATCTGTACAATGCCAAAAGCTGCCAAAAAACTTTGTACGGCCGGTGTACACATGTTGCGCTAGACTGCGGAGGTATAGTCCAGTCTCCTGAGAGGCTGAGTTACATTGATGTATGGCTTTTTGGCCTTAATAAACACAAACTATGGACATACATCAGTCAAAGACGCAAGACCCAAGTTGTATTTTAGCTTGATTGGTGTATGGCCTTTTTGCCTTACATAAACATACTCTATGTACATAGAGTAGTTAAAGACATATAACTGACCGTTTTGGGCAGGATGAGCAGGCGAGGTCGGGTGACGTATTTGGCGCGCGGGAGTTTGGTCAAATACGTCAGAGTGACGCCGGGAAAAAAACGTCACCTGATTGCGCGCCGTGTGAGCTAAGTACGCATTGCCAATGTTGAATACATTTGTGATGTATGCTTGTGAAGATGTGATGATGACGTGGATCTTACCAAAAAAAATTACAAGTCATTTTTTCATTTTTTTCATTTTTTTCATTTTTTTTTTTTTTTCGTTTTTTCTCGATGGCTCAAAGATAATAAAAGTCATTGCACATGTTTTGCTGGAACAAAAAAAATTCAATGTAGGGCGTCGCGGGGACCGGGGCGACCCATGAGATATCACGAGAATCGCCATTAGAAGCGTCCCCGTCACGAAACTCGGAGTGACTCAGGGAGAATCGTTCTGGAAACCGGCGCATGGACCGGTGGGTCCCATCTCTGTCTCCTTGACGATACTTCGGGTCACGGGGACCCTAACTTGCCAGTGACGCTCTGGGGGCGTCATTCACCTGGCAAAATCCCCCCGCCGTGTATGTTTTGATCAACTCCCATTTGGTTTGATCAACTCCCATTTGTTTTGATCAACTCCCATTTCTTATTATGTCCAGTTAAGATTTCCTGTATCCATCAAACAACTCATCTCATTCAACATATGAAGTTTCACCAGTCTGTCCTGTCTACATACACTAGATTCATTCTGTCTTCCAACTAAATCACTCAGGTGGACAATCATGATTCTTTTCTCCACGTGTAGAGTTAAGATGAGGTACTTCTGTCAATATGGAGCCACCATCTTATGTATATCCTCAAAATTCAAAATTGAAAGTCTACTTATTTTCAAGAGTCCAATGTAGAAATTTTTCTTGAAGGTTGAGTTTTCTAAATCCATCTTCTCTAAAGGAACCACTACAGCAACATAGTTCACATGAGATGTGATTCCAAATGTTAAGGAAAAGGTTTGAAAATTATTGCTGCTACTCTAGGGCTGAGAAAGGGGTCAATTCCACATTCAATTGATTACAATGATTGTGTATATCTACCTGACAACTCATCAACTATTGTTTTAGTTGGATGAAGAATATATTATTCAAAAATGGTTGAGGTTAGAAACCCCCCACTTGATTGGATTTCTTTGATCTTGTGAAAAAGAATTTCTAACAACAAATGACATTGAAATCCATCAGGCTCCTAAACTATCACTCACAACATGATTGATCCATATTTTGATATGTACCTTTGTGTTTTGTTTTATCTGTAGCCTCAAATCTCGAGCACAGGGAGTGGGATTTGCAAATTAAATACCCACTCTCCTGGATCTTGTCAGCTTTGAAGCCTGTTTGATAATTGGTTGCTTCTCATCATGGTGTATCCTCAATCCAAATTCTTTGTAATTTTGAACCCTAGTGTAACACTACCTGTACCTTCCCTGGATCAGCTCAGTTGATCTTAGGACAGGAATGTTTCATACATTTGTGTACTTATGGGACATCCAACCAAAGAAAAAGAGTACAAATCTTCTCTTGAGTCAAAAACTCAGGAAACAAACATTTCCAAGTTGGAAATTCTGAATGTGCTCGAAAAATGAGACGGCACGTTGTGCTGACCCGGCATTCTCTTTCCCTGCGTTTCTTGATGAGTCGCAAGAGTGAATGAGAAAAGACCCCTGACAAATAATCAGCTCCTTTGAAGATGCTAGTTTGTGATTCGTGACTATAACCTATAAGCCTTCATAAGAATTTTCTTGGAGGTGGGAGCTTTGATAAGCTTTAACTTCCCCCTGTTCAAGAGGTGCCTTCACTTTTCTGTCCGCAACCACAAAATACCCCACCTCACGCGTCGATATTACCAACCACCCCCCCCCCCCCTACACACAAAGAAAAGTCTCTCCCCCCCTTCCCTGTTTTTCCTGGGAAGCCAATTGTGCCACCCCTCCTCCCCCACAACCTCCTATGTACTTATGCTCCTCGCCCGACCAACGAGGCTCAATGGAGGGGCCGGAGGACAGATTTCGACGAGAAGGTCAACAGACACAAAGAATAAGAGTCATCTCATCCTGACGAAGGTATTTGGCGAAGGCGCAAAACTGCGAAGCAAATGGTTCGATCACGTTGGACGCTGGCTTCATCGAAATGATCCTTGACCTCTCGGCCAACAATGAACGTTTGATCCAACGACTCGAGGCTACGGTCGACCAGCTCAATGCTAAAGTCGACCCATTGATCGAACAGATGGCCGAATTTCAGAAATTCATGAAGACAGGCCTCAAGCCTGCGACCAACAATGGCAAATCATTCGCTTCGGTCGCGGCGTCAACCCTCGCCGACTCCATTCACGCGCCGACTACGCGCCCCCCGCCCAAGCAGGTCATCGCCTCCTTGAAGCCGAAGCGGGTCATCATCCATTCGAACCCAGCGAACACCACGTTGAAGGACGTGCCCAGCGGGGCCCTGGTCCAGAAGGCGAACGAGGCTCTTCTCGGCTTAGATGCCCCAGTTGATGGCGAGGCTATAGCGATCCGAGGAGCCAGCATGCTCCCTTCCGGCGATGTCTCCTTCTACACGAAGAACAGAGCCCACCAGAAGTGGCTCATGGACAACAAGCATGTGTGGTCCAAAGCCGTCCATCCCGATCTAGAAGCGACCCCCAGCACGTGGTCCGTCATGGCTCACAGAATCCCCAAATCCTTTGATGTCAGCAAGTCTTCCAACCTAGCGCTGCTGGCCTCCGAAAACAACTTTCAGGCGACCGATTTGGCTCGCGTACGATGGATGGGTTCAAACGAACCATCGACGAAGAAGGCCGGCTCCTTGGTCCTGGCGTTCACCAACAAGGACCTTGCTCTCCGGATTGAGAAGTCGGGCATCTTCCTGAATTACGACTATCACCGAACCGAACGTTTCAAGCCCCGCCCACCCCAGTGCTTCAAATGCCTGAAGATGGGACATTTTGGGAGATGGTGCCGTGAACCTGCAAGGTGTGCAAAATGCGCCGGCAATCACTCAACTAATGAATGCCCTGAAGGCATCGGTGGCGTCAAGACTTGCGTCCTCTGCAAAGAAGGTATCAAGAACAAAATTCCAGGGGTCGGCGATGTCGATCACACTCCGTTCAGCATGGCCTGCCCTTACAAGAAGGCCTGGTTTGAGAAGAAACGCCTCCCGTCTCAATGATAGGTACACCTTCCGGAACCCCCGATCGCACTCCTCAAAACTTACCACTGTCGAATCCAAATCCTCACGCCCATTCCCCCTCAGCGAACTACAACACCTCTCTCAGATGGGACCTAACGGCCTCGACTTCCCCACCCCCTCTTGCAACTAACTCTTTCTCCTTTTTACAGCTTAACTGTCATGTATCCAATGCTGTCACGCTAAGTCTCCTTAATTCTGCTCTCTCTTTTGATTTTCTCCTTCTCCAAGAACCATGGGTTAACACTAGTGACTTTTGCCCCCCACAGCATGCGGCCTGGCGCTCTTACGTAGCGTACGAACACTCCCCGTCCTGCTGGAAGGAACGTCACAAGGCGGTCATCTACGTTCGGCGAGCTATCCCCTCCGAAGCCATCCGGCTTCTGGAGGGGGGATCACAGAACCTAGTGGGCATAGAAGTCTCACAACCCGGGAGAGTTTTTCGTTTCCTGAATATCTACAACCCCCCTCCGTCGTTTCCCTCAGTAGACCTCCTCAGAAACTGGCTGACAATCCATTATTCCAGGCAACATGCGATGATCGTCGCAATGGACGCCAACCTACATCACCGACACTGGAACCCCCCGGGAATCCGGAAAGTCGAACCAGCGGCCAGAGATCTGCTAAGTTTCCTCTCTGCTTTTGGGTTCAGGATGGTTTCTCCCAAACATGTCCCCACCTTCTTTTCTGCTAAAGGAACAGGCTCGACTATTGACCTTGTCTGGGCAAATTTCTTAGGCTCAAAATTAGTTGAATCGGTCTCCGTCTCCAATGACAATTTCGGATCAGATCATCAAGCCCTCCATGCCCAACTCAACATCAAAAAACCGCCCCCAGCTTTCCGCTGGCGCCCCCCCCTTTGGTCGGACCTGACCGGGTCTAAGATTGCTCCCATCACCGCTAAGTTGTCCTCCTTATCTATTGCACCGCAAGAAGACCCAGACAAGATGGCCGATCGACTGACGGCTCTTCTTAAAGAGGCACAGGAATCCTTGGGAAAGCGCGTTCGGGCCGACAAGGCCAAAACCAAGCCATGGTGGTGCAGCAAGACCCTGGACCCGGTTTTACGTACCCGAAATCGTGCGCGAAGATGGATGATTATAGCTAAGTCCCCGGAAGCTATCGAGTGTTATCGACAATGGAATACCTACTTCTTATCTCTTGTTTGTTCCTTGAAGCAACGCAGCTGGAGAAAGCTCTTGGAGGACCCTGCGGATGGTGACATCTACCGCGTCCTCCGATTCTCCGCAAAGTCGGCGGGCGGTGAGGTCCTTCCGCTCAAGACGAAGGATGGGACAATCGTCCACGATAAGTCGCAACAGGCCAAGATTCTGTTTGAAGGAACATCGGTGGTAAATGCCCCTATAGACCTCTCGGATGCTCAATTTGATTTATCTTGCAGGTTTGCTAGCTACCCCCCGGTAACCAAAGCGGAGGTGCAATCGGCAATAAAACGGATCAGCCCGAAGAAGGCGCCAGGTGTTGACGGTCTGGCAAACGAACTACTTAAGTCCTTATCCCTCCCGTTGTCAGAGGTATTGGTAAAACTGTACAACAGTATCCTAACCACCAGCAAATTCCCCTGCTCCTGGAAAGTAGCTGTCACCGCCATCATTCGGAAGCAGGGTAAACCCGACTACACAAATCCCTCCGCATACCGGCCGATTGCTCTTCTAGGCTCCATGAGCAAGCTGTTTGAGCTCATCCTAGCGAGACGACTGACGTCATGGGCGGAGGGAGCAGGAATACTGGCGGAAGGTCACTTCGGAGGACGTAAGGGATCGGGTACTGAGGATGCCTTGTTTGCGCTGGAGCATTGGGTCAAAGCTAAGTGGAGGGAGGGCAAGGCGGTTGCCGCCCTCTTCCTGGATGTTAAGTCGGCGTACCCGTCGGTTCACCCATCCAGACTTATCCAGTATTTATTCCAGATTAAGTGCCCGACTTATCTTGTACTGATCATTGCCGACTTCCTCAAAGATAGGTCAACGACAGTCAGGCTAGATGACTTTGTTTCCGAGGCTTTTCCAATAGAGATAGGCCTCCCCCAAGGGTCCCCCCTATCGGTCATCCTTTACATTCTATACAATAATTCTCTGCTGAACAAATCCTTCTCAACTTCCTCTGACAGGGTTTCGATTGGCTATGTAGACGACGTAGTCCATCTAGTTGCGGCGCAGTCAGCGGAGTCCGCTAAGGCCACACTAACGGAGGAGGGAAGGCGCTCCCTTGCTTGGGGGGTCACCCACGGGGCTATTTTTGATCAAGCTAAGGCGCAATTTCTCTGGCTCACCAAGAGGAAAATGCCGGACAAGGCCTTCCTATTTGGAAATCAGGTCCTGAAACCGGCAAGCGAAGTTAAATGGCTGGGGGTGTGGCTCGATAGCAAACTCCTCCTGAACCACAACTTCAAGGTCCTAGAAGAGAAGGCTCATAAGACCATCAATCAACTCAAGATCTTTGGCAACTCCCGATGGGGTGCAAAAGAAGCTGACAGACTGAAATTGGTTTGCTGTGTATTGTTTCCTAGGATCTTATACGGGGCAGCCTTGTGGGCCACCAGCTCAAACAAGGGCAAGGTTGCTACCCTTGCCCTGAAAGTTAATCGACTCGCGGGTATCTTCACCCTTGGTGTTTTCAAATCAACTCCCAACAATTTCTTGCGCACAAGATCGGCTTTTCCAGACTTTGCGAATGAAATAAAAAAGACATGTTTTTCATTTTTCTTCAGAAAACTGATCACAGTGAAGGCTAATAATATCATCCGATCCTTCATCCTATCCAGCAGGGCGGAACCTGCGACTCGCCTGGCCGACTCAGCTAGGATTGGCCTGGCTGCTGACCTTGTTGACATGGCAATGGATATGGACCCCGAGGAAATACGTCTCCCCCTCGATTTTGGGACGCCCACTCTCAAAAAACTGGAACTCAAAAATTTGGACACACCCAAGGAGGAAGCTATTACCGCGGTTAAGTCCCTCATCTCACTGCATCAATCAGACCCGACGAGACTCTTAATTTTCTGTGACGGGTCATTCCACCCGGAGAAAGGAGGAGCAGGGGCGGCTGTCTGTCCGGCCAGGAATGTCTTCAGCTCCTACGCTTTGGGTGGGAGCTCCCTTGTGTCTAATCACGAGAGTGAAGCTGTGGGAGTGTTGGCGGCCATGGGGTTGGCCAGGTCGCTTAGTACGGATCCGACAATCCGACGACTGGTGGTCTTTGTTGATAATCAGGGAGTCATCAGAAGGATAGGAGGCCCGGTGACCCCAAAGCCGGGGCAAGGACTATTTGACATGATTTTCGCCGCGATTTCAGAATTGCCGTGCCACTTGGATGTTTCCTTTGTGTGGTGCCCTGGACACAGAGACATTCTGGGTAACGAACTTGCGGATAGATTGGCTAAAGAAGCGCTGGAGTCCCCCTCCTCGCAGCAATTACTCATCAAAGGCAATTTCAAGAAGGTGCTCCGCAGGTCAACAGCCAGCCTCTCCCCTAAGCCCCCTGTCTCGTCGGGTCTACACATATCCCTCAGTTCTTTGATAAATCAACTGGCCTCGGGTCATAATGCACTGAATCATCATCTTTTCAAGATTTGTAGGTCCCTCGACCCGCTCTGTCCCAAATGCGGGGCTAGGGAAACGGTGTTTCACCTAATGAATTTTTGCCCTCAAGTTAAAATTCAAAGGATTTCACTCCGAAAACATCTGCGACAATCAAGAATACGGTTTAGGGCAAATAGGCTGGACTTAGTCCTTGGCAACAGGAAGGCTGAAGTAGCTCTGGCAAAATTTCTACTCGACTCGAATCGCTTTACCGATCAACTCCCTCGATGAAAATTCATCGAGTTGTTTTCTGTTCTTTCTCCTCAATCCTCCTGTTTCTTCTCTTCTCTTCTTCTTTTATCTTTTCTCTCTTTGTTGGTTTTCATCCTCAGTCTTTCACTCATAACTATACTGTGTCCGGTTGTTATTTGTCTTTGTAGTGTGTTGTCTACCCATTTCACAAAGGTGTTACTTAGATTCATAGTGTGCAATGCCAAAGGCCAAATTTCACTAAAAAAAAAAAAAAAAAAAAAAAAAAAAAAAAAAAAAAAAAAAAGAGGTGCCAGGAACATCACAGGGGACAGTAGATAGCTACTTGCAAGATCAAGTACTTGATGTATTTGCGTTCTTCCAACTTCCTTAATTGATCTTCAAGTCTTGCCTCTTTCTGGTGCCTCTCGGTGCCTCTTTCTGGTATGAGTATGTCTGGCAGCACTAGCTGATTGAAGTTTCTGATTTTTTTTTACCCAGTCTGCTTCTGCTGTTCATGTAGTTATTTATCCGTTAACAGAAGATGTTAAGGAGTCATGGTCCAACTGCAGGGTTGTTGGGTGAAAAAGTGCAATGAAAATCAGAGTGGTGATTACGTAATCTTATGTGGTGCCCTATATAAGAGTGTTTTTCGCCCGGCGTGATATGGGACACGATCGAACCAAAGATACCATCAACGCTTATAAGGATGTCCAACAAACCTTTCAAGCTGTCGGCCACCCTCGTCGGCCATTCTCCAAGATGTCAAGTCAGTCAAGTTTGTCAAGCCAGATTCAATCTTCTCCTGTGCCCGAGACACAACGGCCCGAGTTTGGAAGAGGAGCGATGAACAGTGGTCCGAACAGTTGGTGTACCAGAACTCCAACCCAGGCTTCTTAAACGCAATCGCAGCAATCACTATCAAGGATAAAGGTTTTTTTCTTGTCCTGTATCAGAAGCTCTCTTGGTCTCTATTTGCAACGCTTGCTAATCATGTGTGGTGTGTCGCCCTTCCAATTCCACAGAGTACATCATTAGTGCTGGACAAGATGCGTTGCTTCAACTTTGGCCACTTCATCCCGAATCTGATCAGTCCTACGCACCTGAATTCGTCCTGGCTGGTCACACCTCGAATGTATGCTGTCTGGACGTATACGATGCAGGTCCGGGACAGCAACCTACGATTTGCAGCGGGAGTTGGGATTGTTCAGCGATTGTTTGGCGTGATAATAATGCGGTTTACAACCTACGGGGACACTCTGCGGCCGTCTGGGCTGTTCTCGGCTTGGGCGATGCGGATGATAGCGTTCTCACTGCTGGAGCGGATAACTTGATTATGTTGTGGAAAAAGGGCAAACAGGCGCTTACCTTCAAAGGTCACACTCAAGCCGTTCGTGCATTGGCCAAGCTACCTCAAAGCCCTCAGCTGTTTGCATCCGCTGGGAATGATGCCACAGTCCGCGTATGGAATCTGGACGGGCAAGCAGTCCGGGTGATGGACGGACATGACTCATTTATCTACTCATTGAGCTCGATGCCTTCCGGCGAGATCGTATCATCAGGCGAAGATCGCACGGTGAGGATTTGGGACCCAAGCTCTGGTCAACTCGCCCAAACCGTCACCGTCCCGGCCATAAGCGTTTGGACCGTCTCGGCCAATCCAGAAAACGGAGATATCGTGTGTGGCTCTTCGGACAACATGATCAGGGTATTCACTCGCTCAGAAGAACGCCTAGCCTCATCATCCGAGCTTTCCGAATTTGAAGAATCCGTCAAGACCAGTTCAGTTCCGAGTGCCACCGTTGGTGATGTCAAAAAGTCAGACCTACCAAGTGTAGCAGTTTTGCTATCTCGTCGAGGAAAGAAGGAGGGCGAAGTGGCGATGGCAAAAAACGAAAGCAATGGCGCAGTAGAGGCCTACCAATGGGATGGAATGAAAGGCGATTGGTCAATGGTCGGGACGGTTGTCGATGGTATTGGCTCAGCAAGAAAACAGCTCTTCGAAGGAAAGGAGTATGATTACGTCTTCGATGTCGATATCAAGGACGGAGAGCCCCCTCTCAAACTACCCTACAACGCATCTGGTAGGCTTGATTCTCTTGTTGGTCATCATTCTCACAAGAGTATCGAATCTGTCTTGAATCGCACATCGTCTTCACAGATAATCCATACACTGTCGCTCAAAAATGGCTCGCAAAGCACGAGCTGCCCGACACCTACGTCGACCAAGTCGTAGATTTCATCGACAAAAATACATCTGGCGTAGCCCTAGGAGGGCCGACTGCAGGCGCGGATCCGTTCACTGGTTCAGCCAGCTACCGCCCTAATCCTGGTCAAAATCAAACCCAATCAAATGTTGGAGCTGATCCTTTCACCGGCGCTGGCAGCTATCGGCCGAATGGTGGTGCACCCTCTGTTGGTAAGAGTACTGGTCTTACTCTTCAGCTGATCTTGCAATCTAATTGACTATTCATCTGACAGGTGTCCAGTCGAATGAAACCAAGCCATCAGTTTCTCTGCTGCCTCATGTGCGATCAATATATTATATCTGAATTCATGAGAGCTATGAAAGCTGATTTCGCAATTGTAACAATCACCAGAAATCCTTTCTCAGTTTTCCGCCGACCAACTCTAACTTTTCAGTGGTAACAGGAAAGATCAAAGAGTTCAGTTCACAGCTCGTGAGTCTCAAGTATGAACTGCCATCTTCGTTTGCCCCCACTGGCCCTAATTGATCAACTTTTTCAGGGCGGGAAAGAACTATCTCCAAGTGAACTTGAGGCTCTGAGTACCTTAACCACGTATCTTTCCAAGGTCTCGGGTGCGCCTCCTGAATCAGGAATCAAGGTCTTGGAAAAGATGATGGTGGATTGGCCTCCTGCCAAGCAATTCCCAGGTCCGTGCTGATATCTCAAGCCTCAGAAGGAGTTGTTTTACTCAAGATGGCCTCAAACCTTTTTTTAATATATCTACAGCCATTGATATTGTTAGAACAATGTCGATTTCCGTCCTATCAGCTCAACTTCTTCCTTGCCTTCTTGCCAAAATTCGAGAACTGGATGATCAGCCTGGAACCGAACTTAATTTCACATTGGCCGTTCGAGCATTAAGCAATGGCTTGACATCCTGCCCAATCACAACCAGTCAACCAACGCTGATCAACAAACCAGATTTGGCTAAGCAGATATGTGATCTCCTGTCTTCTGAGAGTTCACCAAAGCTCAACTTGACGACAAAGAATGCGAAAGTTGCCTTCGCCACCTTGCTTCTGAAGTACGTCAGCTAGTGCATCTATCCGTCAGGGGGTACTTGGCTGAGATTGACCTCTTTATCAATGTGTTTAATCAGTTTGTCAATTAGCAGTGTCGATGGTATTCTTGACTCTGATGCTGTGGCTCAGCTA